CCTGTCACCCAGCAGCAAAGTGAGCAGACAGGCAGGAAAGAAGACTGCTCCAGTGAAACGTGTGTACACACACACAGAGCAACTGCCTGCCTGCACCACCGCGGGAGTTTGTGCCCGCTCTGGATGGAGTTGTATAGGAGGGGGAAGGAAGGGAGGTTGGAAATTTGTTTCCTCCTTTATTTTCTTCTCTTTTTTTAATTTAAGCAAAGAAGGCACAAAATCTCAGCCAAGCTTCAAACCTAGCGCTACCTGGGAGCTCCCAACCTCCAGAAAAGCCAGTGTGTCCAGGTGGGAACCCAGCCCTCACCTCTCCCCCCTCTTCCTCAGAGTCTGTGCTTGCATTTGAAAGGTACCGCTCAGGCAGAAGGCCCTGCCCAAGGCTTGTGCACTGCTAAGGAAAGTAAAGCTGTGCTGGGTCAAGGAAAGTGAGGATGAGGAAGAGTCTGTTGTCTTAAACAGACCCTTTTTCCAATGTAAGAGCTACAGAAAGTCACCTGTGACTCCTCACATTGCTTTTGCAAGAGCAGACCTAGGAGGGCACTGGTGCTTTTGGAGGTGACCACTGTCTTTACATGTGCAAGGGTTGATTTTATTCAGGAGGGCCGAGACACCCACCCAGGCGTGGCCCCTTTGAGCCAGTGTTCTCCAGGAGGGTAAGTGCCAGACCTCAGTCCATCCCTCCAAATGGCACCAGGTTCCTTCAGAGGTTCCAACTCTTGGCTTTGATTAAGGCTATTTAGTTGCAATAGATAAAGGATAGGTGCCAACAACAGCCACCTTCCTAGCTGCAAGGAGATGGCAGGGCCACTGGCAGATGCCACCATTACCTGGCTCCGGGACACTGAAGGAAGTAGGGAAGGCAGAGAGATAACACATGGGCTTCCACAGGGTTGCCCCCTCCATTAAGCCCCTGCTTTCACTCTTTCTAAGGAAAGGGATTTGGAAATGAATCCTGCCAACCTCAGCATCTGAGAGGTCTGTGTGCATGGGAGAGCAGAAATGAAAACTGTGATGCCTCCATGTGAGGGCCCCAAGCACAATGCCATGCTGGCCAGCCCTGGATAGCCTGATAAAGAAAACCCACCATGCAAACACAAAGGTGTGGAGTTTGAAGCCACTTGCCCTGAACCAGAGCAGCCCAGAGGGAGCAGACACCTCTGGTCCTGCCTGCTACTCTGCCATACCACCCTACTTCTCTCTGCCTCCTGAATAAACACAGCAACACCCAAATAAAAAAAAAAGCCATGAGCCCTACAGCAGCAGCGGCAGCAATGATGTACCCTTGCCCTGCACAGAGGGTCTTGAGGAAAGACGCTCGCATGGCTGTGTCCTCCACAGCCATGAACAGGGCTCTGGTGGCACCCTGAGCTAGTGCAGGAAAAACACCCAGTCTGAGCAGAACCTGTGTGTATCTCTGTGTGTGTATGTTGTGTTTGTGTGCCTGTTGGGGTGTGGGAAGAACCGCAAAAAAAACAGACAAATGCTCCCTGGTCCACGCCATCGCCCAGCCATTCCCTGGGCCAGGCTGGTGGCTGTGTCTCCACCTTGACCCTCCAGCCCAGCTTGTGTCTCCTCACACCCAGCCCTGGCCCACTGGCCCCCCATCATCCATCAGCAGGGCCAGCACAGCGGGGAGGGGGCTGCGGCCACCATGTTGAAGCATACCCTGACCTCCTGCTCAGCCCTCCCTGCCCAGACACAGGCTGTCATCCTCATGGAAATAAAACAGCAACAACAACAGAAGAAAAAAAAAATATATATATATCTCCCCAAACCTCCCTAAAAGACCCAAATGGATGGAATCAACCCCCAACAAAACCAACGGGAAACAAAAGTGAAAGTCCCTGCCAAGGTCAGGGTGGGGTGCATGTCCCAGTTGGGGCTCAGCAGCTGGGGAGTGCATCCCAGCCTCCCTGCTCCCCTGG